GTGTAACTCATGAGAATGTAAGAACTTAGAACTATGAGACTAAACACACAATGACACAGGAGTACGTAAAGTATTATCTATTTTTATTCATTATGTATGATGTACAAAATTTAAAAAAAAGTATAACGTAACAGCGTAACCCTTGAGAACTTTAGAATCATTAGCATAATCACACAATGACAAAGGACTGCAAAACGCTTCACTGTATTTATTAAGTAAGATATAGAAAATTTAAAAAGTAACGGACCCACTAGAGTGCAAGAAGCTTTTATTAAGATGTATAACATGTGTACATAAATATAGAGTTATATATTGTATAAGCAAGTTCAGAGGAAGGGAGGAGAAGTTCTCAGGATATTTGAGAAATAAATATGAATTTTTCATATTACAGTATTAAATTTTAATTTCTATTTAATGTGTCAACCAGAGTATACAACACGAATATACATCCATGCATATCATAACAATGCATCAAGTTTAAATTTCCCTATATTTCATCCTTTATTAAAATTAGAAAGTAAAATAAATACAATAATTTAAAAAAAGGAATATGAATATAAAAAATACTGTGAGAATAAAGTGTGTACTTATAAGTAAATACACATACAGGGAAGATGCAGACACATTGTCAAAAAGAAGACCACAGGAGTCAAAATACTAATATATTTTTAAAAAAAATTGTTACACAATTATTGTTTTGAAAAAGAATATCAAAGAATTGCAATTACAATCATAAAATAAGTTTTTTCGTTGAAATTTCTCAATAATTGTGCTGTAAGTTGACGCAAATTGACGTGTACTGACGCAATCCGACATAACTTAACACGATTTGACCTGAAATGACGCGATTTCATGCGAGTTGACGCAAGTAGACAGCTCATGGTATGATCGCGACGTGCTTCTACCCCGCTGTATCGCGGTGTGTTTTCCGACAACTAGTAGCCTACGAACGTAATAAAACGGTAATTTTCTTAAAATTGCAGAAGATATTTTTGTCGAACTTTTTATATTTGATTCAATACATATTACTTAACTATTGTAGGCCTAAATTTTTTATTATGAAAAGATCGGAACGGAATTCGTTTTCTAGACGTCTTTTGAGCTTCACCCCATGGCCTATAGGCTACATTATAACCTAAGAAGTGTCGCCAGCTGGCTGTGTGTTACCAATTTTTCGGGCTTAAAACGATGCCTAAATGGCCACAAGTGGGAAGTTGGAATCTCAGCACTCAAAAAATGTTAGTGAAAACTCTGGAACTCTGTATAGGTTGAAATTATTATGTGTAAATTGATTTACAGTTATCTCATAAAGACAAAATTCCATCCAGGCATTAAAAATACTGCCAATTTTACGGCAAATGTTGCAGTAAAGTCGGCCGGTGGCTATTCCAATATAGGCTACTTGTAACCAATGCATAGGCATTCACAGTGTTAATGCGATTCAGCGGACCTATTTTCTCAAAATTTCCTCCACAAATGAAAAAAAATACTGAAAAGTTTAAAGGAAGTGTAAAGAAAATATAATTATGCTTCAATAATAATAATTAATAATTTTATAATCAATATATCAATAAACTTAAGTAACTGCAGATTTTGGCAGTCCATTGACTAGACAGTTTAGCTAGCACATTATTACTGCTCATGTTTTTCTTTTTTATATTGTGTATATCTGTTAATAATTAACAGAAATTTGTAATTTTCTTAGAAATTTTCCTAACAATTGAAACTTTCCTTGAAATACTTCCCCTTTCCTTCCAGGTTGAATTTTTTACCTTGTACCTTTTTCCTTTACTATCCCTTTAATATCTATTTTCTTTTTAATATTGTTTCATCCTGTTTTCTTATTTAATTTTTGATAACTTAACTTTCTTTTAGTTTTTTCATTGTCATTTTCTTTCCACCATTTTACTTTTTTTCTTTCCGTCCTTTTCTTATTTCTAATTTATTATTACTGTATTATTATTTTTTTTGTTTCTTTTTTCAATTTTTAAAATCTCTTCTCTTTTTCTTTTGTGTCTTCTTTTTTGCATAATAATCCATGGGGACAGTGTGGGTGGGTGGGGGTTTGTTAGGAAATATAAAGGATAAAATATTGCACTGCGCTTATATCTTAGCAGATGTGAAAAGGATGGGGAAATATGTGCTACTAAAAAAATTACTTGTGCTACCAAATTTTTTTGTGGGGTGCCAGAAAATTCTGGCAGTGCTACCAAGAAAAAAGTTAATTTCAAGTCCTGTGAATGTAGATAAAACTTCAACTTAAAGCACATATTATAGTAAGTCCTGGTGGTAACTATCATCACAATATCACCATGATATGATCTAATCAGTATCATTATCAACATTTTTTTAAACCTTACAAGTTTGTCATTTATAGATACTTTTTTTTAATAACAATATATCGAGGTTAGTAAAGGAATGCAAATAGCAATTATTTACCTGATGGTTGGCAGGGGCCTTGATACCAAGTTTCTTAAGGAACTTCTGGAATGTGCGATTGGCAATGGCAGTATGGTGCTCCTGACTAATGGCGACTACTGGAATGGCTGCTTCATCGTCGTCATCTGAGAATAAAATGCAAGACAAAAACAAATTCACACAAGTATCTATGAAACAATGCCTCAAAATCAAGATTCTAACATCTACCCAAAAATAGATGGCAGATACTTAAATTGGAACCTTCATATTACAAACTATTTTATTAATTATATTTGAATCCCACACCAATTTACCGAATGGAATAAATCATGTCATGCTCTATAGACTACTTTACTTAGTATTCCAAAATAAACTGTTTGTTGTATTAATTTTCTTCTTAACAGAAAAATAAATCTTGAAGTCATTCATAGTATTGTATGCAATATGGACCATATGCATGTAAAATATCTCAACACACTTTACGAAAAAGTGAAAGTTTCAGGAAGTGTCTCCTGGTACACTGTTCCTACTTATTTCCAGAAGGACCCTGTCGTAAAGCTAAATGTAAGGGCATCTGTTATGACTAGCAAGGTCCTAGAGCATGATGTTGAATATATCAGCCTCCCTGTTTTACAGAATTAAGATCATTGGATATTGTTGTAACACCTCATTATTGTAGTCTAGTTGTATTTTAATAACAGACAACACTGGAAACAGGTTTTTTAATCATTCATGTGACATTCTTGCTGTGCTTAACACCAAAAAAATTGATCCAACCCAATGTGACCATGTATGAGTGACGCAATTTCTATTTTGGATGAATAAATATTAATTGCTTCAATTTTTGCATAGCAATGTAATAATATATTAAATGCTTGCGGTACACCAAATAAATAATTCTTAACACTCTGACTGCCGGGGAAAATATAGTATCGGCCACCGCCAGATTTTTAGAGAGTTTTAACACTTTCCCAAAGCTCCTTGAGAGTGCGTATGTGATCAGATTGACATGTAGTGAATACTACAAGAACTACAAACATTTTAGCTTTACAATGGTACCAAACACTTTATTCTAATCACAATCTGTGACCTTAACAGTAAAATGAAAATAGCTCACTTTTACAGATTTACGCAATTTTGTGCAACGAAGCTGAGATAATCGCGATTCCTTGAAAGTAAATCAATACCGCTCTATGATAATGTAAACAAACAAATAGTGAAATACTTGCGGTCCAGACTGAATATAGTGTTCAAATTGTTACTACATTTCAGTAATTACCTCATCTATCGGATTCCGTTAAAAAAACTGAAACATGGAGATCTCCGTGTTTGGTGGTCAAGCGTTGCGTTATAAAACACGAAGATCTCCGTGTTTGACAGGCAGAGTGGTAAAAGAACTTTTGTTTTTGTTGAGAATGACTCAACAATAACTATTCTTTTCAGAACTATCTACTGTATGTGGTGTACCGCAAGCATTTATTATATGAAATATTAATTACTTCGACTTTGACTTTTATTATCAAGGCCAAACTTGGATCAAACTAGAAAGACATAAGTTTACCTTCCTCATCCAAATCATCTGCTGTTGATCTCAGCACTTCTTGAATCCATTTCACTTGATTCGACAAACCTATTAGAAAAATGTTTAAAAACATCTCTTTAATATATTTATCTTTCAAATTCATTATTGTATTATTCCTAATAGTGCCTGTTTTGAAATATTTGTATATTTATTGATATAAATTCCCCAAAGTTCATAGCTACTTATTGTTTACAACATACCTTCTCTTTGTACCTTGATGAGTAATGTCTCTGTAGTCCTGACATCTCCATCACTATCTGATCCTGAACTTGAGGTTGCTGAAGCTTCTGGTTCCTCAAAGTCAGATGGCAAACCTTCTACATTTCAAAACAGTACAAATTATAGAATTAAAATAATAAGTATATGGGAGTTTGAAGAATACATGTAAGGAAGGAAAGGATAAAGGGTAAGAAAAAAATGGGAGAGGAGAGGAATGGAATCAAATCAAATCAAATCAAATGTACTTTCATTTCCATACAATTAAAGTAATACAATAATCCAGTAAGAAATGCTAAAGTTAAAACAAATATATTGTATGGAAGGAGGCTACAACAAGTTCTGTCTGCACAAAGAACTCACAGAGCTTTAAGAGAATAAAGACAGGGAAAGAGATATGAAGTGGTAGCAAGAATGATGTGGGGAGAGAAATTACCACCTTGGTTAGAAGTTAAAGAAGATAAGTAAGAAGGAGAAACAAAGGAGATAGGAACAATCTTATTTATACGGACCTATCTTGATAGTATGAAGTTGTTTTTTTTTTTTAATTCAATGAAGCTATTATAAAATGGAGATGGAGGCAAGGAGATGGAGGCAAGGATGACATGACTATAATATTAGGAGATGTAGATACAGTATGTAGATAACCGTGATTAAAAGGAGGAAGTTAAATGAAAGTCAGAAAAGTAGAAAGCACTTACCTTGGAATTCTATAGTTCCATTCTCAATTACATCATCCTATAAAAAAAAATCACAAAATACATAAATTTGTATAAATCACCAACAAATAACCTAACCAATCTGTTACAATGTTAAAGGGTGTAATAAATGGTATATAATATAATTATATAATCAATTTAATGCAAACCTCATTGTCACTGAATTTTTTCCTCCTACTTTTTCTACCTTCGTTTCCAGGTTTCTTCTGTCTTTTCTTGTACAGCTCCTTCCTTTCGTTTACTAGTTCCATACTCAGTAATTTCTCAATAACTTTGTTCTTTGACCGTTTCACAGTCATGTTCTCCATGATACTTCCAACAACATCTAATATTCAAAGCCAACAACAATTTGTTATTTTGATTTTTGATAACAGATATGGTGCATTAAATGAGTGGAAACTACCTACCAATAAAAAGAAATTTGGAAGGAGATGTTTAAGCAACATCGACCAGATGATGATGGTATAGTGTTGGTGGTGATAATAATAGTGATGGTATTACAGTAATAATAATGTTTGTTGAGATGATAATGATAATATATTGGGAATGACATCAATCTCGCCAGTTGGATGGTCGAGCGGTCGAGCGGTCAAGGCACAGGTGCACAACCTAGAACCATAATATCGACACGCCCGCCTATGGTTCTGGTGGTGGAACAAGTCTACTCGGATAAGGACTATAAGCCGTAGGCCCAGTGTAGACAATTAGTGGAGAATCAAGTTGCTGCAATAGCTCGTTCACACGTCAAGTACTTTTAGACCGTTTCAGTGCAAAGCACTATATATCAAACTACATTACATTAAAATACATTACCATAAATGATGATGGTGTTAAGAATAATAATGGTAAACGACGATTATGATTCAAGCCTGGTTCTCACAAGAGCCCTAGTATTCAGATTGGGATCTAACCGTTTAAAGTGCTAACCATTAGCACCTGTGTGAGAACGTCCGATTGGTTAGCGCTAACTGTTTGTGGTATCCGGATACCGCTAATGGTTAGCAAGCGCTATCGGTTAGCAAGTTGAGGGCCTTTCTATCATCAACTAATCACATGTACACATTTACAATTTCCTGTTTCTTATTGGCCAGTGATTTGATCATATTCTTGGTATCCGGATCTTCTTGTATAGATGCATGGCAGCTTACGTTAGCTGCCGTGTGAAAACATAGACAAAGATGATGACAGTAAAAAATAAATCATACCATTAGATTCTTTGAACTGTTCAAAGAGGGCCTGTAATTCCAACTCATGTTCCTCCCTCCACAATTTTGTTTGCTGCCCTCTGTAAAATAAATAAAAATTAAATGATAATTCTTCATTCAATTGAATGGTATACAATAATTAATGTTTATGAATGTAATGTGAGTCAATCTTTCAATGAATGAAACAAAAAATGCATGGATGCAACTAAATTTTTATGACTGATGATGGAAATAACCATATAATGGTGTAATGTCACATGAAAAGTATCTATTTAGGTGTGTTATAATACATTGACTACAGATTAAAGACTTTATCTTGAAGCATTGAGGTAGTGGTAATGCTTCCACCAATAGACTGGTCACTGCATGAGTCCTTCAGTAGGGGAATATCAGTATTCCTGCTCAGTACGAGAGGAACCGCAAATTCACACTGTTGGCATGCGCTTGATTGAGAAGACACTGGTGCGATGCTACTATCAGAGGGATTATGGCTAAATGCTAAGTCGAAATCCTGTCTGGTGGTTAATTTTACCCTACTGATAAAAGGTTGCGGTTACAGGATTAATGTAACATGTGTCTCTTCACCCAAGATTATAATTGGATATTCACTTTGTGTAGAGCCAACACACTGCCCCTCATGTACAAGTACCACTGTTTTAAAACTGTAAATCCAAACACAGAGCTATTGGTATCTTACATAATCAATAATATATTTTTCTCAACTTACACTTTCTTCTTCTTTAAATCTTTGCTACTTGAAATAATATCCAACTTTACAAGCTGAGCAACAATCTGAATTAAAATGAATAAAGTATATTTCACTTACTGAACACTCTTCTATGGCCCAAGAGAACAAACTGGATTAATTAACAGAAATACTTGTTAAAAGAAAAAAGGTAACATGACAACAAAAAATTATAAGGATAAGTAATATATGACATCAAAATAGCCTTATGAAAAACAATTTGATGATACAAGTTAATATATAACATGAACAAAACCACTTTTCTTTAACATTTTAAATACTCCCTATGAAGTGTTTCAAAGAATATGGCTGAAATGATATATTGCTATGTGCTTGAGTCTGACCCAAAAATATAAAATGACATCAGACATTACTTTTGCTGACCAACTTTCAAGCCCTATCCAGACTATCAAATTTCATTTGACAAAAACATGTGACATGACTAAATATGGTCATGATGACATCACATAATGACCATATATAGGACCATATATAGGCACATTACGACTATATATGGGTGTTTCATATTATATTCATAATATTTATACCTGTCTCCTTGTACGATTCTGATTGATGATGTACTTCATAATTTGATCTACTGCATCAAGATCTGAAATGACACAAAATTAAAATTGTAAACTTTCTTGCAGGTAATTTTATATTAAGAGGAAAGAAAAAAATCTGTGTTGCCACAGCCAGGCCCAAAATCTGGTAACAAAACTATTTTTTATGGTCTCATACTACACTTACCTGGGTCATCTTCATCTTTGTACTGGTCATACAGCATTCTCAGCTCTTCCTCCTCTTCCTCCTTCCATTCACTTGTCTTCTGTCTGTTGCTATTTTCTGCGGCTAGACTTCCATAGCCTTCCGTAAGCTCATATGCCTCTTTGACATCCTTCCAGAAAAGGATTTCTACAAACAATTTTTTGTTTGTCTCCAAACATTCAAAGAATTTTCTCATGATGAACTTTGCAAATTTAACTATTTCCTAAAGTCAAAAAAAAAAAAAAAAAAAATAGTGAGGTTTTGCTGTCCTGTTTTAGCATCCCCAAGAACCAAATTCATGGTGCAGCTCAGTCTGTTGCTATGGTCGTGGCATGCGCTGGGGCCATGGTGACACAACCAAGGGCGTCGATCCATGGTTAAAAGTGGGGGGGAACAAAATGAAAAACAAAGCCTTGGGTCGTAGGCCCAAGCCTTGGTCTGGGACCAGGGGGTGAAGCACCCGAAAGCTCTCGCGCCTATAGCCTTTTAATTGATTTTAAGCAATGCAATTAACATTTATTTCCATATGAAATTTTCAAAATATCCAGTGGCGGATCCAGTAATTTGAAACAGAGCTGAGCCCAGAGAGGGACTTTTGCAGATGGAGAGTGTAGACCACCTCAGCCCCACCATGGTTTGGAGCTGAGGTAAGAAAATTTATGATTATGGCACCTCTAGTTGGTCGGAAATGGCACTCTCAGACTTAATTTGAATATAATTTTCATTTTTCTCCACTTTTAAAATTCGAAAAAAAAAAACTTAGGGATGGTGGGACAACTGGGCCCCTTGAATCTGCCACTGATATACTCATTATAAAAGTTTTTAAAATTATCCTTTTAGTCATAATTATGCCCGCTTATATATTTCGTGCAAAAACATTCATAAAAATAATGATTTATTATACTGTATCTACTGATTAGTTTTTGCTTTTCTCCTCATTTTGAATTTCACTTTTGTGTAAGAATATTATTATTTTTATTATTACTCACAATGGTGTAGTAATAATAAAAATAATATTATTATTTTTATTATTACTACACCATTGTGAGTGGAAATAATACCGTCTAATTTACGCTCAAACAAGACTAGGGAGATAGGGAGCGCACATAACGAATGTTTTCCTACAAAATCAGTAAATGCAGTGCATAGCGAGCAGCGAGCAGAAATGTGTGTCGAATTTGTGTTAATTATAACCTTTTCAAACGCCTCAAATTCAGTTAAAATACTAATAATTAGTATTTTTTACTATTGAAAAGCGTTTCATGACGTATGTATATAACTAGGAAATGAAATTTTGTACCTCATTTTACTTTTACTGTTGATTCCATTTCTCTTAAAGTTGTTAATTCATATAAATATCTTGGTATTAGTTTTTCAAATTACTCAACATGGTCTACCCATGTTAACAGTGTATCCTTGAAGTCTCTGAAAATGTTAGGATTTATTAAACGGTTTGTTGGTTTCAGTGATGCTACAATATTACAGTACTTAAACTTTTTAATGCATTTTGCCGTCCTATTATTGAATATGGTGCCCCTGTGTGGGATCCATACAAAAAACAGCATCAAATAGCTATTAATAAGCCTTTAAGATGTATCACTAAGTTATGTATTGAAGGTGACTTTGCTAACAGGCTTAAAAACCCTTAATATACCCGATATGGTTCAAAGAATGAAATTTCATTGCATAATTTTTGTTGTAAAATGTTTGCATAGTCTAAACGATCTTGATGTATTAGATTACCTTGTCATAAATGACCGATATCCTGAAACACTCACCTTTAAATGTTGTTTATGCTAGAACTAATGCTTATAAATATTTCCTGTTTGTGAACTTCCCGCGAATTTGGGATCATATTCCTCATGATGTTCGTAATAAAGCCTTGTTCCACTTTGAAGGATTTAGAAGGGAGCTCAAAAAAGTGATCAATTATATTGAATTTTAATACTTTTTTAAATACTTTTTTAAGTACTCTTAGTTGGGAAAGCCACTTGACAGTGTAATTCTTTGAATTGATCCCACTTATGGCTACCCTCAGGTGCTGATTGTACTGTTGTTTTATGTATATTTTTGTGTTTTTTCACCTGGAAATTGAATAAAATAAAATAAAAAAATAAAAAAAACCATTAGTTAGCATTTTGATTTCACAAACATAAATGTGATTTACTTAATTTATCATTATCAGTTGCAGCTCCAGGAGGAAAGCAAAATAAAGGGAGAAAAGGTAGGGACTTGCACAATTTGGGAGAGGATCACCTCAGCCCCACCATGGTTGGGGCTGAGTAAAGAAAATTTATGATTATGACACCTCTAGATTGCCGGAAATGGCACTCTCAGACCTAAATTCTAATTATAATTTTCCATTTAAAAAAAAAATTTAGGGTCAGCTCGGCCCCACTTTATTCCGCCACTGATTATTATGAAGTCATTGCGAGATTGCGTCAACATAACACTGAAGTAAAATTTTGGTATCACTAATCAAAATAGATGGACGTGTCAAAGGCTGTAAAATTATTATTCAATAATTGCTATATAAAATTCAATTGACTAACTATATTTTTTTTGAAATTAGGAAACACAGTAATCCTACGTATGTACATAATATTAAACACTATACGTACAGGTATACAAAAGGAATAAATCGTTTACAGTAGAAATTGTGCACTTTTGAGTTTGTAAAAATATTGGCCTAATAAGCAACACGCTTCCAATTTTAACAACGTTCAGTACCCATAAAATCGATCTAGTGGTTTCTGAGATATTGGTTATGAAATGTATACACAATTGCATTTTTACTCGGCTTTGGTCCCCAAAATACGTACTGCACTTGGAAAACTGAACAGACAAAATTCATGAGTCATGCGTGATTGTTATTCTTTACATTCGCTTTTAAAAGTGGGGTTTTAATTATAGAAGATAGGTGAAAAGTGGGGGGAACAATCGATATGATGTCCCCCCTTAATTTGAAAAGTTGAGGAACATGTCCCCCCTGTCCCCAACCGATCGACGCCCATGGCTTTCCCAACTAAGAGTACTTAAAAAAGTATTAAAATTCAATATAATTGATCACTTTTTTGAGCTCCCTTCTAAATCCTTCGAAGTGGAACAAGGCTTTATTACGAACATCACGAGGAATATGATCCCAAATTTGCAGAAAGTTCAAAAACAGGAAATATTTATAAGCATTAGTTCTAGCATAAACAACATTTAAAGGTGAGTGTTTCAGGATATCGGTCATTTATGACAAGGTAATCTAATACATCAAGATCGTTTAGACTATGCAAACATTTTATAACAAAAATTATGCAATGAAATTTCATTCTTTGAACCATATCGGGTATATTAAGGGTTTTAAGCCTGTTAGCAAAGTCACCTTCAATACATAACTTAGTGATACGTCTTAAAGGCTTATTAATAGCTATCTGATGCTGTTTTTTGTATGGATCCCACACAGGGGCACTATATTCAATAATAAGATGGCAAAATGCATTAAAAAGTAATATTGTAGCATCATTGAAACCAACAACCGTTTAATAAATCCTAACATAAATCCTAATAATGTAATTTGTGCTGGGCTAGTCTCTAGTCATACCGTACCATTAAATCAGCTGTTGTGTCCATGGGCATTGATCGGTTGGGGACAGGGGGGACATGTTCCCCAACTTTTCAAATTAAGGGGGGACATCATATCGATTGTTCCCCCCACTTTTCACCTAGAGACTAGCCCAGCACAAATTACATTATGTGAAAATTTGGGTAGAATTTTAGTGAATTAGCAATCAGTATGAGTATTGACAATTTGCTCAAAGTAGTAATATTTTAAATCACTTGATTACAGTATACACCATTTTCACAAAACTGGAAATGAAAATTTCCGAGAAACTGGCAACTACCACTGGGGGACTTCCAGAGGCCTGGCATTTCACTCTACGTACAGTAGTTAACATCATGGATTATTTAAATGATAAAACTAAATCACTAAAGAGCACAAAATTTTAAAACGGAAAGACAACAAAATGTTGATATTAAAAACAAGTCTAATATCCGATTCACACGTGAAGTTAAATTTAACAAAAAGTAACAAATTGTAACCGAGCGATCTCCCGAGTTATTCCTACCGAGATAAAAAGCATTCACACGCGTCTGTAAGGTAATGCCAAGGTCGTGTAAAATTTACTTAGTGTTTATTCAATGAATCATTTTTCCCCTACTGCGATATAGGTCTAGCCTAGGCCTAGTTGAGAACCCCTGTCACAGATGGACTGTTGAACTGACCATCACTGTAAACATTTGAAGCAATCAATGCCCTTAACAACTGCTGTAAACTACTACTACTACTAAACTAGGCATAGCTTCCAACGTTTCTGTGGACTCTTAACAATACTAGTAATAGTACTAACACCATCCCGACGTTCATTTTATGTATATCTTCTTCTTCTACCATTACTAATTAACATCAATAACAAGGGTAATGCATTCATCATTGAGAAAAACTAGGCCTATCTTTTTCTAGTGGATCAGAATAGTCTGCAGAAGGAAAAAAAATTCAAAGAACCCCGTGAAACACAGTAGATTGTTGTTGTGTTGAAATCCCTGCGCATGCGCAGATCCATCCATGCTACCTCTCGGGAGCTTTACCAGCCTCAGCGAGGCTGGTAAAGATTACCGAGACATTCCGAGATTTTACAAGGATATTACACGGAGGTACTTTCACACGTGTCGTAAAATGTTACTTTTGGTTACATTTTGTTACATTTGGTAAGATTTTTGTACGTGTGAATCGGGGATTAGACTTCAAAAGTCATTTCAATGTTTACCTACAGTAATTAGCAAAAGATTGTGTCTGTGGTCTGCTGCTGGTAGGCCTAGCGGTGCTATCCGCTACGCAGTGCTCTATTTGTAATATTTGTTGTAGACAATGGTGGCGCTGTTTCAAAACAGACCCAATAAAATGGTGTATAGATTATAAGCAGACGACATTGAAATGTAGCAAATACATTCAATTTCTGGATTTCTGTTTATCGCTCTCGATCCAGCAGATGAATCTTGGGTTAAGAGTATGTGTGATAAACTAAAACTAAGCCTAAACAGGGTGACGCCATACACAAAAATATGCACTTTTCTTGGAGGTTTGTTGCCCAATAACATTTTGCGAAAGCTCTCTAATATGATCACCAGTATCATCGCCAGGAAAATGTCTTACTACTGATGACTTGTGGGTAAGAATGAAGTTCTCATTCACATAATAATTCAAACTTTATTATTTCAACCTGTTAATCAAGTTCCATTAAGCTGCCACTTACCTTGTATTCTGGTAGCTTTGACACCGAGTCATTCAACAGCTTCTGGAACACGCGGAACAAAGACAACTGAAAGAGGAGAGGCTCCATATGAAGGTCGACAGCCACCCGATGCAACAGCTTTATGATGCAGTGGTTGGTGTGCACTGTGTTTTTGTCAAAGGACTTCAGGAGGTGGACATACGATTCCATGACCTTGCAATGTGCAAATCTGAAAGAGAAGTGAAATTATTATTTTTAACCCTTAATAATGTATAACTTTGTACCACGGCTATCCCACAGTTGACCTATGGGCCTATAGGTATAAGCCCTGTCCAGGCTATAAGGTTTTGTTTGGACAAAAAAAAAGTGACATGCCTAAATATGGTCATGATCACATGATTATATACAGGCATACAACATTTTTTTGTCCAATTTCACGTTGGCACGATTTCATTTTGGTAGGTTACAAATTTTAATCAGACTATCAACTAATTATTCTTATTGGCGGACACCTGATTTGTATCCTGATTCTATGACAGTAGTTGAAGCTGTCCTAAAACATAAAATTATTAAATGTACAGGTAGTCCAAAAAAGTTTATAAGATAAATATTTGATTGCATATTGTTAGAAGAAATGCTAAGCTCTAAAAAAAAAAAACTTTACATTTCATCATAGGGGATGGTTAGGAATAAACCTAAAGCGACTTTCCTTTAACCAAGGGCTCCCCATCATGATTATATTGTAAGCTTTGCATGTTTTTCTTGTATTATGAAGTAATAGAATAACTTTGTATTATTAAGAATTGTAATGATTTATGTCATTTAACCTTCAACTTGAGTTACTTTGACCCAAGTCTTGAGAAGGAAATTGTGATTGAAATTTCATTTAAACAACAGATGTGTATGACTAAAGTTCAGTTTGATGTGATCTATAGGTACCAGTAGGTATAGTAGTATAAATTGTATTAAGAAGTAGTTAAGTGTTTAGTTAAGGTAATTAAGGTAGTTAAGGATGTATGAATTTGTAAACTTTTAAAATTATATCTATATTCAGTTAACATTTCATATGCATTTATTATGTTTACACAATTATACTTTATTATATAATTATCAATTACGAAAGATGATCAGATAATAGAAATTTGCAGTGTTATCTCATTGTGTAACTGTATATTTAAAATTGCTTGTCTCATACTGTATTAATTGTTTCAACTTAATGTTAAGAAAAACAATTCCTTCACTTAATTGTAGAGTTTAAGTTTTGATTGATTTTTTAGATAAGTATGTACATCATATATTTAATTTCTTAATTTCATAATAATTAGAACTGTTTCTTTGATTTCACTACGTTCCATCAAATTCGGAAAAAGGGGATGTCATGTATAAATTCCAAGGAAACCCACATTGGTACCAACAGGTACATTCCAGTCCTACCTTATTATTATTTATTTTATTTATTATTTTTATTTATTTATTTAGGCACACAATACTTGTGCCAAGGATTGTCAATAGCGAAAATATCACTGTCCTACTTGTAGGTGACAATCCCTTACACAAGACAGACATACACACACGATGCTTTACACAAACTAAATCTCAATATGAGATTTAGGGAGTGGAGTTGTTTTGGTCGTGAGAAAAAGTCCTGCAACTGGCAGGAATTGAACCCAGGACCCTGGGATTGGAAGGCAAGCATCTTAACCACCAAGCTATTCAACTCCACTGTACGACCGTCGTACGACGCAGCGAGTGTCCGGCTAAAAACATCACCAAAAGCGCATCAAATGCGGATCTTCGCGCGCGTTTAACCCTCTACGCTGTTTTTATAGTAAATATTGGTCACTTTAGTGAGGCCTACAGTCTTTAAAAACTGTCAGGACTTATTTTTGTTCTACATCAGAAAAAAAATTTGATTATCGCTTTATATTTTTTTTAAATTTTTTTGCATTCTAACAATCCGTCAAACTAGTGTTTGATATTTATTTTATTATATATATAATTTCTGTGCCTACAGCATTTGTCATCTGGAAAATAAATGAATTTAATTTTTTAAAAATATGTATATTGCTCCACAAAAGAGTTCATTAAACAATTCTAATTAGGTCATGACACGAATTCACATAACCCTCTTTAGATTCATTACTGCTAATTAGTTACTTTTTAAATGAAACCTTATATTGGCAAATTGAAGATTTTTTTCTAAATGTAATGATGGATAAAAATGTAAAAGAATTTATTTTTTCTTCCGGATGATAATTATACCACCTAGCCCTAATGCCAAAAACGTTCCAGTTCCCATTACAGTAGATTCATGGGCAATAAACACAATGGGCAATCTTTTCTATTTGTGATGAGTATTTCAGTCACGCACAAACAATTCAATATCGTACAATGTATCCATTTGACTCCTTGGTGTCAAAAGCAAAAAGATGTGTATAAGAGACAGATTACTGTACTGGCGTATGACATTATTAGAACTAAAATAGTGTGTAAAAGAAACAGGTTCAGAATGCATGGATGTTCGACCAGGTTCGATTACAATATTTAATTTACATGTTTTACACTGAGATGATAATAGATCCGTAATGTAAAAATAATTTTAGAACAAAAGAACTATTAAAACGAGATCTTCAATATGAAACCACATCAGCTGATGTTTCTAACTTACAAAAGTTGAAAGAAGTTATGTCAAAAGATGACAAAAATGATAAACCAAAAGAAAACATTGTATGTTGTTTTATGGATGAAAAGCGAAACAAAATAAATGAAACTAACTTTGTTAATGAGTGCATGTAGACTTATGTTACGACAGATAAAATCGAATTAGATAATCACATACGTTTGTGTGTAGTTAATGATGGTATAGCATCATCATCCTCTGAGTTAACAAAAGACCAGAAAAATGATGTCATTAAATTGTTGAAAAATGTACCATGTAACACCATTGAATTAATTCGAGCACGATTTCATGTTGGTAGGTTACAAATTTTAATCAGACTATCAACTAATTATTCTTATTGGTGGACACCTGATTTGTATCCTGATTCTATGACAGTAGTTGAAGCTGTCCTAAAACATAAAATTATTAAATGTACAGGTAGTCCGAAAAAGTTTATAAAGAAGATTTATAAGTAAATATTTAATTGCATATTGTTAGAAGAAAAGCTAAGCTCTAAAAAAAAACAACTTTACAATTCATCATAGGGTATGGTTAGGAATATAAACATAAAGCGACTTTCCTTTAACCAAGGGCTCCCCATCATGATTATATTGTAAGCTTTGCATGTTTTTCTTGTATTATGATGTAATAGAATAACTTTGTATTATTATTATTACTACTATATTGTAAGTATAGTAAGAAGAATTGTAATGATTTATGTCATTTAACCTTCAACTTGAGTTACTTTGACCAAGTCTTGAGAAGGGAATTGTGATTGAAATTTCATTTAAACAACAGATGTGTATGACTAAAGTTCAGTTTGATGTGATATATAGGTACCAGTAGGTATAGTAGTATAAATTGTATTAAGAAGTAGTTAAGTGTTTAGTTACGGTAATTAGGGTAATTAAGGTAGTTAAGGTAGTTAAGGATGTGTGAATTTGTAAACTTTTAAAATTATATCTATATTCAGTTAGCATTTCATATGCATTTATTATGTTTACACAATTATACTTTATTATATAATTATCAATTACAAAAGATGATCAGATAATAGAAATTTGCAGTGTTATCTCATTGTGTAACTGTATATTTAAAATTACTTGTCTCATATGGTATTAATTGTTTCAACTTAATTTTAAGAAAAACAATTCCTTCACTTAATTGTAGAGTTTAAGTTTTGATTGATTTTTTAGATAAGTATGTATATCAATTATCATATATTTAATTTCTTAATTTCATAATAATTAGAACAGTTTCTTTGATTTCACTACGTTCCATCAAATTCGGAAAAAGGGGATGTCATATATAAATTCCAAGGAAACCCACATTGGCACCAACAGGTCCTACCTTATGGTCAACTTCAGGAAGTAACTAAGGTTATTCACCCAGGTAGTTGATGAGTCTTAAACAGGTAGTTGATGAGTCAATGATGTGTCATTAACCATCTTCTTGGAATCTATATAGCTCCTCCCCTTTGGTCCAATATATATATCAGACTGAAATGATTAGAGAGGACACGTAGAGGACACAGAGAAGGAGACAGAGAAAAACCATAGAGATAGAGATAGAAAGATAGAGAGTAAACGTTTTATGTTTACATTAAAGAGTTCAGCACATTTTTTATATTTGATTGGTTGTGATATACAATAAAACATAACAAGGAACTGCGTAATGTCTACTGAGTATAATTCGAGTTCTAACCTCTCTTGCGAGTCAACATAGACCACAACATGACAATATGTATGTTTACTGACTTTACAATTCCAACAACCTGGGTTAAAAGTTGATAAAAGCATTACACAACCTCCTTCCTTAGGCTCTATTTAATGAGACATACATGGCAGGGCTTACTGTGTTATTTTACAGTTCTAACCTGTAATTACCTCCGCCAAAGGGGGTTATGTATTCATCGCTGTCTGTCTGTTGGCAAAATTAATAGATTATCATAAAGTTTAGAGGAATGGTACACAATTGAAGAAAGAGACTATTTAATTTTTGGAAGAAAAGGACAAAGGACAAGGTCGAGGTAAAGAAATGAATTTTTTATCCTCCAGCATAAAAGAAAATAATGGAATCACCGCTCGTATGCAAGCACAGGCCGGAGGTATGGCGCAGCACTAAAGAAAATGATGTGCCTGAAAAATACTACAGGCAATTCCATTATTCTCTTGTATATTTACTAAGCTACGGATTCCGGACAGAGTGCCCATCCTACACAGCCTGCATATTGTTCATATTCAGGTACAGGGCAGAGGTAGCATCTATGGAGTGCTGTAGTTGTTGGATGTGCTTGCAGACATTTAAACTGCTAAACAAACCAGAAGAACCTCACATAATTGACAATGACATAATACAACAAATTGAAAATTAGACAGGAAAATACAATACCTATTCACATATTGCTGGAAGTTAAAATTTTCTTCTCCATGTTCTGATATCATCATTTCTTCTTCATCCTCCTCCTCATCCTCCTCTTCTAAAAGATAACAAAGGAACAAGTATAACAAAACGAAAATCTTTAATATTAGTGGTGGCATCAGCAGGGAACTTACCCCTTCCTCTCAGATCATGAGCATGTATAAATGGTGATGATACAAGAGTCTTGAAATTGGGGCGAGGGTGGAGTGGAGGGGCTCAATGATTAAGTAAGTAATTAGGTAATTCTTAACTATTTGAGCATTTTTTGGCTTCGTACACACAGCCATTTTAGGCTAAAATGTTACAGTGGCATCCATATTACTGTATCTCTCACCCTGAACCCCACCAGGGCTTTACTTATCACCGCCGATTGGGGGAGGGGGTGTTTGACACAGCCAAGTTCAGGCCATGTTTGTCCCACACCACTAAAGCTGAGTCAAGCAGTTCCACACATTTTGTCATTGTAATCATAACAAATGAATGTATACCTTCTTCATTGATACTCCTATCCTGTTCTGCTCCATTACTTGAATTATCCACTTGAAAAATAAAAACAAAATGGTGTTATTCCCCACAATAGTTAAAGAATGTATTTTGGGCTGGAGATTACATTCTCAGATTTACATAATAAATCCTAATGGATAATACAGTATATATTATCAGGTCTTGTGCAATGCAGCGTAGTTTTTAACTAAAAAAATACTGATGAAAGTAGTATACCAGGAAACTGCAGATTTGGCAATGAAAACAGGCAGTGACGTCATTAATTTGACTAATGTTTTAAAAGTCCACCGACTTTGCAAAGCAGGCCTATTCCCTAGGTTGACACTGTGAAATCAACATTCTTGAAACTTTCAAACAAAACGTGAATTACGGTCTAGACCTACAACTTGAACCAAGGATGGCTAGAAGAGATGGAGGCAAAGAACAAGACAATGAGTGGCGAAAACACAGTAAAGAATGGTGCAAATGTCACCGATGTGAAAAAATGCCTACAGCCCACGAATGCCTGTGTTGCCAGGAAATTGATAAGAGTAACAGGGTGAAGATAGACAAACTCAGATGTATTCTTGAACATTCTGATTTTGAATCTGTATGTTTAAATCAAGCAGTACTAAGGACTGCACTTACTGCTCGCAATGATATTCGGAGAGGCCTAGACATTGACAATGAAACTTTCTGTCTAGCAGCATACAGACAGTTCTCATATTGGGTACTTGGGCGTCTAGGAAAAGGAGAAAGACAGGCTAATCCTGCCTGTGTAGTACGAAGAATTCGTGAAGAATTTCCGAGCAGCGATGGGAAATACACTGGCTTCAAAAAAGCGGATCTTTAACAGCATGCTGTAAATGCAAAAGTATGTAAATAGTATAGAATCGCCACTTATATGTCGTCCTATAAAGTTAGCATGTTAATGATAGGAACTGTAATAATAAGAAAGTAAAACTCCACTTACTGTGGTTGTAATGTAGTTTGATCCTACCAAAGAATACAGAATAAAAAGTACCTTCAATACTCTTTGGTCCTACGGTCACTTGAGTAATAATACAATTTATTATTACATTGTTGTAATAATACAATGTATATTACATTGTTGTGCTTTGTTTTGTGAATGTTGTTTATTTCAGCTTAGCTTGTTAGTTTGATGCAATTCAGTGCAGTATTGCAATGTCAAATGTTATTGTTTTAATAATAACCAGAATGAAATGGAATGAAACAATACGTCTAATATAGTTGGGTGCCTAATATACAAGTGACCATGTTCTCTGTCTCTGAGTTTGAACTATGTACGTACTAGTTAGTCATTCCACCCTACATGCTGATGGCAATTGTAGACATCCATCAGTGTGAAAATTAGTGCGTACTCAACGATGCAACAGGTGTGTAATAATGCTGATACAAAAGGATTGTTTTTAAACATATAACTTGTCTTCTACTTCTTTATTTATTGTTTATTTATTGTATTTAGGCCTAGTACATATTTATAAAGGTCAGCTCCGTGTGTGCTATGCCATCAGACAAAGAAAACAAAGTTGATAATCCCTTAAAAATAGCTGTGGTATTCACTATGCTTTTTTCTCAACCTCATATTATTTTCAAAACAACAACATATTTACAAAAAAATTGTATAAAAAAAACAGGCACAAATTTTACTTGCAATAAAGTGTTGACCTGCATGATTACTCTCAGTTCAATAAAAAGTAGGCTTCAATGTGGGCAAAGTGTGGCCTAAGGGTAGCACCAATAAAGTTGCTACATATTTCATCAAACATTATTATTATTGTTATTATTATTATTATTATTATTATTATTATTATTGTATATTTATGTAGCGCATGTCTAAAATTCTATGCGCTTAACAATTCCAAATCATTATTTATTTTATCACTTAATTGTTAATTAATAAAAAGTTTATAATTCAAAGAATTGTGAAATTACAATATTTTATGGTAAACAACGCAAAGTCTCAAAGGGTCAACCATCCGTCACTGCCCCTGCTTAATCCCAGAACTCTACCTAGGTGGCGTGAACAAAGGAGCAGCTTACACATTTGCCCTGAATGGGTGCTCTGGGACAGCGACCAAGATAGTGGCCCCTAGAGGCAGAGCAGTCACATTTGCAATCAAAAGAGAGAGAAAATAAAAACAAAATGGTGTTATTCCCCACAATAATTAAAGAATGTATTTTGGGAGACTACATTCTCAGATTTACATAATAAATCCTAATGGATAATACAGTATATATTATCAGGTCTTGTGCAAAAAGTAAAAAGTAAAAGTAGTTTACCAGGAAACTGCAGGTTTGATAACAAAAACAGGAGGTGATGTCATTAATTTGATAATTTGTTTGTTTCAGCTTAGCTTGTTAGTTTGACGCAATTCAGTGCAGTATTGAAATGTCAAATGTTATTGTTTTAGTAATAAACCAGAATGAAATGGAATGAAACAATACGTCTAATATAGTTTGCAACACCTATAGCAACGATACAATAGGTGTGTAATAACGCTGATACAACAGGATTGTTTTTAAACACATAACTTGTCTTCTACTTCTTTATTTATTGTTTATTATTTATATATTGTATTTAGGCCTAGTACTTATTTATATTTCATTTCATTTTTCATTTCATTTATTTTGCCTTTTTTTTTTTTTTTTTTTTTTTTATCATAACAATACAGTAAAATATTCAGAAAATTCGAAAAGGTAATCCATGTTTCCTCCAAGAGCCGGCAGGATTACCAAAAAGTAAAATTAATTACTGTCTGAGTGGCTCTCCAAGCAATGGGGGAAACATGGACTAGCAGTATAAA